AAACAGTGTATACATACTTTTGGGACACCCTGTATATGATTACTTGCCTTCCGAAATGTCGGAAATCCCAGCTTCTGTTAGCTTGAAATTTATCGCTGCGTAGAATCATTGCGGGTGTGCATAAAACTCATTTTCTAATCTCTATTTTCATGGTTGAAATTGGCAGATATCGCCTTCAAATAACTAGCAACCTTCACCTTTTATTGGTATGATAGTATCTTTATTCATAGTATAAAATTAGCAAATAAACATTCCACCTTTTTTCAATCTTATTTTTGACCTATAGTTAGCCTTTCTTCAATTCACTGCACTTCTTTGTTCCCTTGAGATTTCATACTGTATCCAACCTTCTGAGCGCATTATCTACGGCTGCTAAAACCGGAAAATTATAGAGTACACAATACAGAGGTTGTTTTGAATTTCTTCTGATTTATCGGGAAAAATTGCTGATCAAGTGCTAAAAATATCTTTAGTGGGTGATGCAATAAACAAAAAAAAATCGAATGAAGCTTGTGGCGCTCGGTTTTCAGCTTTCACAACTTCCTATTTACTTGTCTTACTTATTAAAGTATTTCTATTTTATTGACACCTAAATTTCTTTACAAAATAAACGAAATCTAGAAATTTTCCATAAATGATACAGCTCAAAAGCTTATAAAGCCTTACGGAACATAAGTGTAGAAGGAATTATTTGATGTATCAATCATTTCTGGTGCTTGTTTTCACGTTTATTTGAAGCGTAGTATGCAGTAGCAAGAAATAGGGGAGGACGAAAATAAAAAATAGAATTGAAAGTGTGAGCAGAAGAAGTTAGAAATAGATCAAAAAATCAAGTACAAAACAGCTGCTTCTAGCGGATTTCTGCTATATTGTTTGAAGATAATCGCCATTGGATCTATAGAATTTTGACATATATTTTCCACGTCCACAGTTTCACATTTTATCAAAAAATTACGCTTGTCAATGAAGCATATGTTATGCCTGCTAATTTCTCATAACTCCAGAACAAAAAAAGCATTACAGATTGCCACCATCTGGATTCCCACGTTGATCGCGTTTTCGTTCGCGTTCCATCTCATCATGAGGGATTCGGGTACAGAACCGTGGGAAAGCTTCGACAAAGTGAGTACTTTGCAAGTGGGAAGGGACTTTTAAAGTTCTTAAACAGTTATGGAATCTGTTTCAGGTCGAGAACGCTACTGTATTGCAAAAGCTGTTCGTGATTTTACAATCAGTAACGAAAACATCTACAATGATGATAGGAGAGGTGGATGCAAATGATATTCTAGGTTTGTATTGTTTTTGCTTTGCTCCAAACTTGGAAAACTGTCAAAATTTTTTTAAAATTCGGTCGGGTTCTAGATTTTGTATAGGAATGGTTTGCTCAAGAATATCTAGAAACATTCTTTGAACTGCTCATAGCCAGGAATTGGCAAAAACTTATTTACAATGAGAAAAATTCCATTCTGAGTTACGCTAACATTTACATTGAATTCGAATGAGTGGCAAGTCAGGAAAAAATTCTTGTTTGTTTTTTAACTTTTTTTATAGCGGAATCAGCGGGAAGTGGTACAGATCGTTGTCCGTTTTTTCTTTGATACGAGAACCTTTCAATCGTTTTTTATCAGAGTTTTACCTAACTACATTCCTTTTTTACCATCTTATTTTCAGCACCATTCCCTTCACTCCATCGACAAGAAAATTGCATTATATTTTACCACCATTTACTTTAATTCTCGAAAATTTCCGTTCTATTCGGCATTCCAGAAAGACGTTTGAAGAGGATGATTTATTTTGCTCATTGCCTGTCACATTAACCCAAA